CGCTTTACACCACAGAACCCACCCCCACCACGTGCACCCCGAGGCCTACCGAGGCCTGTCCACACTCGGCCAACAGTCGCTTTACACCACAGAACACACCCCCACCACGTGCACACCGAGGCCTGTCCGGGCCTGGCCACACTCGGCCAACAGTCGCTTTACACCACAGAACACACCCCCACCACGTGCACACCGAGGCCTGTCCAGGTCTGGTCACACTCGGCCAACAGTCGCTTTACACCACAGAACACACCCCCACCACGTGCACACCGAGGCCTGTCCGGGCCTGGCCACACTCGGCCAACAGTCGCTTTACACCACAGAACACACCCCCACCACGTGCACACCGAGGCCTGTCCGGGCCTGGCCACACTCGGCCAACAGTCGCTTTACACCACAGAACACACCCCCACCACGTGCACACCGAGGCCTGTCCGGGCCTGGCCACACTCGGCCAACAGTCGCTTTACACCACAGAACACACCCCCACCACGTGCACACCGAGGCCTGTCCGGGCCTGGCCACACTCGGCCAACAGTCGCTTTACACCACAGCACACACCCCCACCACGTGCACACCGAGGCCTGTCCGGGCCTGGCCACACTCGGCCAACAGTCGCTTTACACCACAGAACACACCCCCACCACGTGCACACCGAGGATATGTGGAGGGGGCAGGGATGGGGGGGGGATTCCATGGGGTAAGTCACAGCGAGGTGTGGAGGAGAAGGGGGACAAACAGAGACACATGCACAGATGTGTTGTACATGGGAGTGCAAACCCACACACATACACACGTACATACAGACACATGTATACACACTCATGTGCATACACACACACTGGCGTGCTTACACGCACACGTACATACAGACACATGTATACACACGCACATGTGCGTACACACAGACACACATCTGGGCCCCGTCCTTGCTCCCTAACCAGAAGGTCACCTCGCGGTGCCCTCTCCCCCCAGGGTGATGCTGGTCCCAAAGGTGCTGACGGAACTCCCGGCAAAGACGGCCCAAGAGGTCTGACTGGCCCCACACCCCCCCCCGGCCCAGCGGGTGCTCCTGGTGACAAGGTAAGGCTCCCCCGCCCCCTCGCAAGGAGCAGTGACCCAGCTGGCCTCTCGCACCCGGAGCTGGTGCCGCAGGCCCCGGGCATCCGTGCAAAGGCCCGTCCCGGTCGTGCCCAGCAGGCCTCGCCCCGAGAGGAAAGCCCCCGCCGACCATGTGATGCATCCCCCCAGGGATAGCTTGGGGGCTCCCTCCCCCCACGGGACCCCCGCGCTAGCCCGCCTCGGCCCGCGCCTGGAGAGCCCTTGTCTGCCCGGCCCAAGTCTTGACCTCGTCCCTCTTCTCTCCTTGGCAGGGTGAATCTGGTCCCTCCGGCCCCGCTGGTCCCACCGGCGCTCGTGGTGCTCCCGTAAGTACGGTTCCTCTCAGCCCTGGCCCCGCCCCACACAGAGCTCAGCCCCTCCCTCGCCTCGCTGACCTGTCTCTCTCCCGCCCTTCTCTTCCAGGGCGATCGTGGTGAGCCCGGCCCCCCTGGTCCCGCTGGCTT